AGGTTGAAAGTTGAAATGCAAAAGTTTCAGAAAGCTTGTTAGTATTAATATTCAAGCTAAATGGATCAAACTGTGTGTTGTATGAAAGCAGCAAAGACTGTTCCCGGTATCAATCAGAAGGACTGCTCTGAGGCAAAATCTGGCCAAATCTTGGCAAAGCTTTTCTCACAGTAGGTTTCAGTATCTATATAATCTTACATGCAATAACTATTTCTTGAGGAGTAAAACACTTTCTCATTTATTATATATATTATTTTTTTCTATTATGGACATCAACACTTACTATGTCTACGGCTATGTGGAAAATTTTGGAAGCCAAAGTGTTGAGACAGCCTGGAAAGAAAGCAAGGGTGGAAAAAAAAAAAAAGTAAAAGTACATTGCTTTCAGTGCTGAAATCTGAGTAGCAGATAGATTTATAATGGATTTTTATTTTTTAAAAAAATAAATAATCAAGTTTAATGTTTAAATTAAACTATAGCCTTTTTTATCATACAAATTATAATCCAGTGAAAATTATCCTTTACCTCTGAATTTTCAAACATTAAATATTTTCATTTCATTATAAATGCTTTAATTAGCTTCTTTAATCATAATTTAACCTCATAACTCTAGAAAAATCAGAGATGCTTTGTTTTTCAGTTGTTCTGTTCAATTTTTCATTTGTTTGTTTTTCTAAGCAGTGCAGCTATTCTTCTCTTAGGCTAATGTCAAAATAAATTTGTATCACTGATAAGGTTGAAAGCCTATAAGGCATAGCATCATAATACCGAACTTAAACATTTCTGAGAAGTAACAGCTCAAAAAGACAGAAGAGTGGAAGTAAAATCTGTTTGATCCCGTGTTTTGCTTTGCCTTTCTCGATTCTCACTAGTTTGCAAAACAAAGTTGAAATTTCTTGTGTACTGGAATTGTATATTTGGCATTAAATAGAGTGTTTGACATACAATAGCTTTTCTTTGACACAACTGATATAGATACCCAAATATTTTAGTCACAGCCGTTCATTTAAAGCACAGTTTGCAACAGACTCCTGGCCAAGAGTGAACAGATTTGGTAGCTGACTATTTTGGTCAGAACAGAGAGTAACATCTTCTTAACTTAGTGAAGATGTTAATCCACAATAAGGACCAAATGTTTTTGACTCAACGTATTTGGAGAAAAATCTCAGCCTCAGCTTTTACCTCCTGCACTTCCAATGGCAGCTTCAGCAAGCTTAAAATCAAAGATCAAATTCCCTTGGACTTAATTATTTTTTTGCAAAACTGTGATACTGGAAAAATACAGAGACTATGAATAAGAACCTACATTTTAGCAATCATACAGAGTCACAGATTATACACAATACTGTATTATCACTAATGGAAACTAATAGACAGTGAGAAAAACAGAAACCTCACAAATTGCTACCAATTCAAAAACAACAAAGGTTGGAATGACATTTTATCAACTCCATGAATCAACACTACTATGAGAGAACTGTGTCCTTAGCTCCAATCCACCCATCACTGTCTTTGTGCCACCTCTTTCTTCCAAACTGTAAAGCACAAATTATCCATCTCCCACAGCAGTGAATCCTCTTCCTGTTTTCAAAAGGCTTTTCTTCTAAGCACCATTATACAAGGTGCTAACCAAGGGGAAAAAAAAAACCAAAATGGAAAATAGGTCATGCAAAGGGATACAGTCACACATCTGATGCCTTTTATTGCTATGAGAAATCCCAGGGAAAGGAACCCTAGGGGCAGTGATATCCACGAGAGTTTTGGGCAACAGCAATGTTCAGCCTAAAAACCTGATACGACTGAAGGCCTCACCATTCAGACTATGGCAGCAGCGGACCTCAGGGGCTGTGATCCAACCTTCCTGAAAAGATCTGAGGTTAATTTTGGGATCCTCTGAAAATTCAGGACACAGGCAAGAGTCAAACTTATTTTTTAAATGAAGCTTTTTAAAGAGGAAATTTTAAAAATTAGTTTCCCTCCTTTATAGAAAAAAATATCAACTAATACTCTGCATAACAGTTTACATTATCAATTCTGTCATACAGTTCATAAATAAAAGAGTATTCATGGCTAAAACTCTAATGTCACCTTCATGTTCGACAGAATATGTGACAGTTTGGAAGCTATTATTTTAAAGCTCACATGTTGAAATTTTCTGATTGACTGCTCACATGTTTCAAAATGATTTTATAATTATCAACAGAACAAGCTAAATTAACCCTGAAGCTTGTAGTAATAAGAATTAAACTGCTCTTACTTATCTATCTACTTATCTGCAAATAAACCTACCCATTACAGCAACAGCTGCCATTCTGATGCACTGCGCTCTGCTTTGATTAACACCTCTGCATAGATCTGTAGCATTAAACAACCTGATCCCTTACTGCACTGTTATATATGTCTATGCAAATTGACACCCAGAGTTCTCCACACATTTACCCACTGATGTCAAAAATGTTTGGAGAGTTAAGGAATAGGCTCAGGAAGGTTTTTATTAAATTCCCATTTGAGTACAGATGACTTGCCTAGCCTTGCATAAGTCTCCTTGTGCCTCAGTACCAAATCTTTAAAAGTGGGTTTATATCATCTCCCCGTTACACAGGACTACCATAAGCGTAAACACTGTGAAGTCATGTGATATTAGACCACTGAGGTCAAGATGTTCATATCATCTTTGTATATAGCTGTGGATACCTGGTTTGTTTTTTGTTGTTTTGTTTGTTTTTTAATTAGCAATAAGAAACATTTTAGAAACTTAAAATCATTAGGAAAAAAACACCTCAAAAGAATAAGCAACTTATACAGTAACAAAAGGACAATAAATGTCTATTTGTCCTATGAAATGGTCTTTATTGTGAAGCTTCAGTAACATATTCATTACTGTCAAAACAGAGACTGAACACTGAAACTATCACACAAAAAACAAACACAAAACCCCACATAATATATAATCCAGAGCTACAATTACCTGTTAGTCAGTGAGCAAATAACTTTTAAAATGTACAGTGTACTGTAAATAATTTAGTTTCACAGCAAACTAGTTCATAACATCAAGATGTTCCCTATTTTGTATGAAGCATAACCTGAAAGTTTTCCATAGAAAAAGAAATATTACTTTATTAAAAAAAATATTATTTCTAATACCTACAGATATACCTAGGTAGTATTTTACATGTCATATAATAATGAATGTTCAAAACACTTCAAAAATAATTTCTTGGGAAAGATAGTGTGAGAGACTGAAATGTTAATAGTAAAGGCTCAATCAGCCATTTGCAAAAGCAATGGGTGCTTTGCTGATGATGAGCAAAGTAACAGCCCAAGTGCAGAGGGCGTAAGCACCAGAAGATGACCACAACAAATTAAGCTTTGTTTAGCAGGAAGCTGGGGTTTGAGTCAGGTAAGGGAAGAGGCTGATAAGAAGCTCATCCTGAGAAGTGGGACAGCTTTTTATCATGCCAGTGTCCTCCCTTACACAACTGCTTCAGTTGTAAAACTGGCCATTCCCTGGGAAAGTATCTGGATGTTGACATTACTCATCCCTTCTGATGGGGCATGATGTCTTAGAAGGTGTCATAAATCACCAAAGATCCCCTAAGTGCCTCCAGGCTCATTTCTGTGGCCTTCCACCAGAGAACTGTACATGATCCACAGTGTTGCAACAGATCCACACTGTTGCAAAAGATCCACAGTGCTGCAACAGACAGTGAAAAACTCCCCACCCCAGGGGAGGTACCTGAGCATTCCACCCAAACCCAAGCATATATTTACCCATTGGACTTTGTGTTTCCAGGGCTTCCTCCACCCTCGATGGACCAAGACTGCGACCATCACTTCAACCAACAGACATCGAAATTGCAACTATGAAGTCTTGTCGCTGGATCCATGGGTGGTAATATCTTTCTACCCTTATCCTTTGTTTCTCTTTCTTTCTTTTATTCTTCTCCTATCTTTTTCTCTTTCTTCTCTTAATTTCTTCTTCTCAAAATATATCCTGAGTCAGACTAAAACATTCCCGTCAATGCCTTAGTAAGTGCCTTGTTGAATCTGGATAAGTTAAAGTTGACTAAGTTTAAGTTTGATAAGGTAAAGTTTGTGAAGTGCCTTACTTTGTCTGGATGTTGTTTTAGAATTTGCCAAGTATCCAAGAATTTGGCTTATTCAACTTAATGTTCTAAAGTTTGCAAGTAAAAGTTTGTTACTGAACCTCCTGAGATTTTGTTATTTCTCCCACACATTGCCCAGAGTGAATCAAACAATCTTCTCCTAAACCCGCTGAGCAGACTGGAGCACAAAAGTTAGTTAAAGTAAGTTTCAGTTTGTCCTTCCCTTTTAAAGAAAACAGATCTTTCTTCTCAGTGTGAAACATTCTCCCTAATCTCTGTATGATTTGCCATAAACCTTCGAAGAATACTTTGCCTCAAAGGTTTTTTCCATTAATGTTTTCATGAAAAACTGTAATCCAGAGCAATATTCTGACAGTTTCTCTATTTTTTTTTTTAATGTCACTGACTTCCTTAGGTGGTTACTAAACAGTGCAAACTATGGATAGATCTGTAGAACACCACAATCATGTTGATAACCCAACTTCCAAGTTATGTCTTTTAAGAAGTTTAGTTTAGACTTCCATCAGGTCCCTCAGTCTGTTGCAACATTGGGGCTGCTCCTACAGCGCACCTTTCACTCCAGTTTTTCATCCAAGAGGAATTCAGTTCACTCATCTCAAGACTGCTTCAGAACAGAAACCAAAGTATAGTCAGTGGGGACAATCAGAAGATTCACTGGTTCAAACTAAACTGCTAATACAAGCATACTTATCATGTAACATCTATAAATCAATAGCCAGCTTCAGAACTAAATGGGATTTGGCACTTTCTGATTTCAACTAAATAGTTTCAATTTTTTTCACAGTAAGTAAAAGCAGAATACAAGCTTAAAAGCACTTAATAGTATATATCTTACACCATTTGCCCATATATGCAAAAGATTCAGGAACTCACCATATCAGTATCTGAAACAGGTCCAAAACTGGTCACATAGATGTTAGTGAAGACTTCAGTAATACTATCTGATATAAAAAGAAAAAAACATAAGCAAACATTTTAAATTGATAATATTTCTTCTAACTTTCTATGCAAGATTATGAGATATTTTGAAGAGGTTTCTGTTCTCGTTTACTACTCCTAATCAATATTCTGGTGTAAATACTAGGGGTCTCTGCCCCACTTAACACAGAGGTTATCAGACAAGAGTTTGTCCCATGGTAGTTTGTTGCAGTTAAAGAACTATACAATCATCAGCAACTACACACATACTTCCCGTTTCTCTACCAGCAAAAATAACCACACCATCTTGGACTTAACATGGAAGTACAGTTCTAAACACAAAATGCCTTTGTTGTAGAGGTGTTATCTCTGTTGATGCAGATCACTCCTATTAAAGCTTTTCCAGCTGAAGGCTGCTTTCTTCATCCTTAATAGCTTTTTCAAAGCCAAAGACAAGAAAAAGCTTACAAAGCAAATATTGACAACACCAAGTATAGCACACAGCAGCATCCTACTTTTTCAATGGACGTGTTTTTAAGCAGCAAATATTCTAACATAATAGTTCCTTCCCTTGATACACGATGTTCCTGAAACATTGTTGTGGTACTTGTAAATAGTATAAGAAAATGTTCTTCCTAATCATTGTAGTCAGACAGCCATGAAATCAGAATATTAGATATTGTACTGCAGGGAAAAATAATTGCTGAGTTTTCTATCTTGAGTCTTCAATTAGGCTCAAAATAGAATGATATTCACTAAGAGGGTTAGCACACACTTGCAGAAAATTTCTTACAGCAGTTGCCAACTACTGTCTGCATTCAAGACAGTCAACACAAGGAATTCTCCAGCTGCTGACTGGAAAAGAAAAATTTAAATACAACAAAGTGCAATTTGACTCATCACAGAATTTCCTGTTCCTAAAAATAATACAACTGCCTGTTATCCAAGTGATCCTGCTGTTAGATTATGATTTCCCCATTTAATCATCATTTAATATGAATAGTTAATAGTTTCTGTTTTCCTAAAAGCTACCTTTAGACAAATATGTGGTATAGACAAATTTTACTTTTAATTACATTGAGGCCAAGAGTATAATCCCTGCCTTTTATTGGGAGAAACCAGTGATGCTCATCTAGACAGTAGATGCTCTACCAGCTACCAGGGCTAAGACTGTTCCATGAGCAGCTGCTTGGGGAGCAGTGAATTCTCAAAGGGAGAAACAAAGACATAGTGCTTTCAGAAAACTTCTAGAGCATGAGCAAGGAACATTCCTGCATTCTCATCCATAAGGAAACTTCCTTCTTCAACCAACACTAGAATACAGGACTTTGTACAGACGTTCCTACAAAAAAGAATCTTTTTTCCAGTATCATCTCCGCTCTTTAGGAAAATAAATAAAGGCTGACTCTTAGTATGTGTCACTCTGAAAGTTCAAAAGCACAATTCTCCTCATGTCCTGAGATACGTTTATTTGTGTGATAGAGACTTCAGTAATACCTTATGAAGCATCCTTACACAAGCTGAGTAGATTTCTACTCCAAACATCTTAACAAAAGCCAGTGGAAAACAGAAGGTGCTGACTCTGCACTGCTCTTGATATTCAACAGGATAAAGTATGGGTCTGGCTGAAGAAACAGAAACCACAGGTACAGTTCAGAGGACTAGTGACTTCATGCTGCCAGTGGGAGACTCTCCAGAAAAAAGATTATTATCTCCAAATGTTTACTTGGCACAGGCAGGAATTAAATGGAAGAGTGACAAGAGAGCTACTCATCAGGAGGTAAAATGGTGCTGCAGGGACTAACTGTGAAATTTGGCCTGTACGGTGATGACAATACAAAATTGTAATTACAATTCCATGAAAAAAACCTGATGTTAGAGAAATACAGCTGACAATCAAGTATCCCAAGAGCAGAGCACCAAGGCTAATTTGAATTATACTGGTATAATTTGAAGGTACCCTACTAAAGGCAACAAAGTTACTGCATGCTCCCCATCTCCCAAATGATTGGAAGCATGGTCCTCTTGTCACCTTATTCTACTGCTATCCATTGTTTGCATCTGATTTATTATCTGACATATGGGAATGATTTTACAATTTCCATATAATAAACTACAGGACATGGCATCTTCAAGCTTGCCTTGCATTCCAAGCTTTAATTTAAAAGAGTTCCCATATTCTATTATATTATTTCAACACACTTCTAGATCTCTCTTTCCACCAGAAATGAGAAGAGGACAGAGAGGAGAACAAACATATTGACTACAACTTCTCATTTAATGCTATTGCAACAGTGTGTAGATTCCCCCTGTTGGAGTGTGTTACTTACTTCAAATCACTTCAGATCCTTGAACTGAACAATCAAGACTTGAGGAGTGAAGAGGAGATGGATGGGAGAAGCAGTAGCTTGCTATCTATAGACCCTCAGTTGCGAGATCTTGATTTCAGGTTACCATAATTAAGATCAGCACTTCAATGTACGTAAAAAGTCCTGGGGCAAATTCATCCCTGATAGCCTCAAGAATGGGAATGGATGAATATGAATTGTGTAGCTCTATTTTTCTTTTTTGCCAAAACCGTCTTAATCAGCATAAATGCAGGCAATGGTGAGAGCAGTGAGTTTTAACACAACCAGTTTCTCTCTCCCGAGGTGACAGCTAACCTTAACAGCAGGCACCCCACCAGGCCACTTCTCCTGATACCATGGAAGAAAATGAAGACAGTAGGTAGAGGGTCTTGAAACAGAGCAAGAAAGGGACAAGGGAAGCTGAAAAGTTACAAGGTATGAGAAGATTGAGAGAAAAGGAAAAATAAGAAAACATAACAATGGAAGGCAGGAAAAAAAAAAAAAAGAAAGAAGGAAGTGCACAAAAGAAGAAAATGTTAAAAGAGAAGCCTTAGCTGACTTAGATCAGGTCAATCTCTTAGACTACAGAAGCCAAAGATAAAATGACAAGAAAATAGTCAATAAAGTTAATAATAAAGAGAGAAAGAAAAGCATATCCTTTGGAAGTAATAAAAGGAGTAACTATTAGCATCACATTTCATATGCTTCTCAAGCACTAGTTTCTTCTGATTCCCTTTCCTTACTTGAACTGACATGATATCATTATTGAAAAAAAAATGAATCAGAAAGTAAGGAAAAGCAATAAATATACCAAATTCCAAAAGATTTATACCTCCTTATCTATCCTTAGTTGGAAGGTTTACTGGGTACTTTAATTACATCTAGGATTTTAAAAACATTAATTATAATAACCCCTCTCTGAAGTTAATAATTTTATTATCTTTAATTTTCCATACTTGGAAAGCTGAGGCAGAAGGATTAAATTAAGTGTAAGTAATGTGAAGTACAGGTGTTTGCCAAATCTAGCTAAAGCTACTAAGTATCCACATTGGAAAATGTCAACATCATTTACTTGTCAAAAATTAGAAAAGTGGTTCAGAGCTCAGCTAGAGTTGAAATCAGTGCCACTGTCTACTCTTTATGCTAGCTATCCTGCTGTTGGGATACTCTTTACGATAGTCTGAAGTCATGCTGACTTGTTCCTCAGTAGAAGAGCTGGCTCAGCTGAAATAGGCTGTTTCGCAGAGAACTTGCAGTGGCTGAAGTGTAGATCAACACAGGCTGAGTAATGGAGATGATCGGAAAAATCAGATGAAAAGGTCCCCTCATCAATATGTACCAATATGTCAAAATTGGAAAATTCCACAGCAGCATTTAAATTTTGAATTAGTTCCTTTGGCCTGGTACCTGTCAGGAAGTTCTCAAAACTCTTCCACTTTCATTCAAATGTCGCTTTTCAGCTGCCCAAATCTCTGACATGGTGCACAGAGATCCAGGGTTTGTTATGTGAGATAGCTGAGCATGCAAGATTGGGCATACCTGAGAGCTCTCCCTTTCCCGGAGAACTCTGAGGCGGGATCATTTTTATTGAAATAAATTTTCTGACCATTTTTCATATTTAAGAATGATCTGTGTATTGCTCATTCCTCCTCTCACCAAAATAATCTACAGTCCTTTCTTCACAGAGAGTAGGGACAAAACAGGCTCATTCTTTGTGTTTAAAAGAAGGAAAGAAAGGAACGTGATCATTACAAAGTCTTCAGAATGAACCATCAGCAAGGTTCCAGATGCTTGTTTGCATGAAGCTGGCTATATTATTGATTAATGTGTCAAGGCTCTTTTCACAAGAAAACAGGCTAGTAGATTGGGTTGGATTTTTTTTTTTCTAATCTGAATTTTCAGTCAATAAAACTGTAAATACATTGTTGGAGCAGCTAAAAAAGAAGGCAATCTTTTTGATGTAATCCAAAACCATTAGAAGTATACTTGGTGGGACAGAGCTTTTAAAACATACATATGCAGTTCTAATGCATAGTATGAAAAAACTTCTGACAAACACTATTTTAAATGTAGAATTAATAGTGCCCATGAGAACACTGTAGGGCTGTAAATGAAGGGCTGCTACAGCATGTAAAAAAAAAAGAAAAAAAGAAAAAAAGAAAAAGAGAAGTGAAAATAAAATACTGTTCTTTAATTAAGTCAAAAAAAAAAAAGGAGGTCAAGTTGCAGTGCTATGGGAGCCTTTTCTGAGGATTTCTGAGTTTTTATGGAAATGCTGTCAAAAGTTTGATGTTACTTTAATTATTTTTCTATAAAAATTATTTAACTAGAATTGACATTATTCTGACATTGTAATATGGTCTCCAGGGGCACGCTTGGCAGTGTTGCCCAAAGGCTTTGAAAATGCCATTCGTAATACAAGTCAGAAATTGCACAGGTAAAACAGCCAGGGTCTTAATCCATCAAACACTGTTCCAATTCAACATGCTGCCCTTATCTGACAAGCTCCTTAGTGTGTCTGTTGACAGCTGAAGACGCTGGCTGGCTGGCAGGGAATGAGAGTCAGAGGAGGTCATGCAACCTGGAGCCGTAAGAGAAGCAAAATCCACAGGAACATAGATATTTCAAAATAGTGTTCTGACATTTCTTTATGCTTGGTTTTGGTGGTTTATGTG